AGAGATTGTACAAAAATTCTTTTCACAGATTATAAGTTACTCTCATCATATTGTGTTACTTGGATTTCAGCCGATTGTTCTGTTATTTCTTGTTCCAATGCTTCATATAATGAGTTTAGTAGAATCTTAATATATATCTCTAAAGTTGTAATTTTTTGTGTTTTTTAAAAAATATAAATTTAAATTGAAAGTTAGAAAATTAAATTATAGATTTGAAACTTCAACTAATTTTAAAAATATTGAATACGATAAAACTCTTATTATTGTTGAATCCATTAAACTTTTTTTTAATATAATATAAAAAATAGAAGATTTTATTATTATTATTATTATTATTATTATTATTATTATAAAAAAAAAAAAAAACTAATAGCCAAACAAGAATGGAATCCTCTCATTAAACAACTCCCCTATATTTTGGTTAGCTAAAAGTTTGAAAAGACTAAAATTCAAATCTTTATTCTATGGAAAAAAAAAAGTGTTAGATTTAACCAAATTTTGCTAGTCAAGCTAAATATTCTTTAAATAGTGTTTTTAAGTTAAATATTCTTTAAAAGTCTCATGTGTCTCATCAGTTAAATATTCTTTATATTTTTCCTACGGTATAGTTATTTTTCTTAGTTCTTGCTTAAGGAAGACTACTAGCACAGATTCTTTAATACATTCTTTTCGTTCTTATTTTAATTTTTATTTGGTTAATTAATTAGGGAAAAGACATATTTTAAGATTACTTTAAAGGAGAGAATAGGAATTTTGTTTAGTAAAGATGTTTTCCATTTGTATTCTTTTTCACAAATATTTTGGTTTAAAAAATTATTTTAGTTAATGATTAAAAAGTTTTGTATGATAAAAATTGAAAGAGTCGTGTGATTTGTCCGTACACAAAAGACTATCGAACTCACAGGCATTCATGTTTTGAGAACAAAGGGTAGCGACATGAAAATTCTCCCAATAAAAACAAATTTTTGGCAATTGAGAATCAATGCCGACAAAAATGACACTTTTATTTGGATGAATATGTTTTGCATCGACAGAGATGAATTCTAATCAATATAGAAAGTGTGTTAGGATGAAGAAGTTTGGTCGAGAATAATCCTGGTACACCATGTCCTATCACTTGGTCGCAAATCAAAGGCCAAGAAAATGATCATTTTGCTGATTCATATTTTTCTAGTTCAGATCAGGGCGTTCTAGTTTTGACGGCATATGGAGTGCGTTGAATAAGTTTGGCCCTTTCTAGGCATGTTTTCAACTCCTTATAACATCCTTCAAGTTTATAGTTGTAAGGTTTTAGAAGCACGGGATACACGTTTAGCGTCGCAGCTATATTGAGATGAGAGTAGGTTGTGACTACACATGCAAACCAACGTAGTGCCCATCCAACCATGTGAGGTCGAATCAGGCAGGTGTCATGATGTGATAAAAAAAGACTGCATAATTCAAGATGCTAGGAAGAGTGTGTGTGATAGTCAAGGTGATGTATAAGTAAGATTAGAGGCAACGGGTTGTCATGATAGTCAAAGATAGGTTCGAAGAGGGTCAGGTAGGGTCTCGGACAATACCTCAAAAGTTGGGTTATGACTTGAGTTTTGACATGTTACTATAGATTAAGTCCATCGATATAAAAGACGAAGACTCGCTATATTTGATGTCAAACAGACATCTGATAGACACTCTATAAAACTATATGACCGCTCGCTAAATCATATCTGTTGGATGATCAAAGTTCCATATGGGCTAATTTAGGGAATAATCATGAGTTTATAATCAAGAATACTCTCTTCTTTGGAATGAGGCATTTTAGGGAAGCTCAAAGTAAAGTCATGAGAGCTTATGCTCAAAGTGGACAATATCATACCATTGTGGGGAGCCATGATTTCTAACTTAATTGGTAAATCCTCAAATATGGAACAAACGACTCCAAAAGAAAAGGAGTCAAGTCTCCTCGAAGGCAGTAAAAAAATGACTAAGGCGCACTTTGTTCGAGGGGGTGTACTAATTAGTAAGTTTAAAGTATTTATGCATAATTAAGCATAACTAGTTTAAATTATTACGAGTAAATTTAAATTATTTAATACACTTCCTGATGCATAATTAAGCATAACTAGTTTAAATTATTACGAGTAAATTTAAATTATTTAATACACTTCCTGACCGCTCAAGATTGACATTTTGGTTGATTTAGCTTGAGTCTGATACGCTCGGACCATTTTCTCTAGTTTCAATACTTCAATAGTTTAAATTTTTGGAGTCAAGTTTAAAGTATTTATGCATAATTAAGCATAACTAGTTTAAATTATTACGAGTAAATTTAAATTATTTTATGCAAAATTTAACTTAGTTAGTTTAAATTATTTGACGTTAAACTAGGTGAGAGTAAATTTAAATTATTTTATACAAAATTAGGTTTGGTTAGTTTAAATTATTTGATGCAAAATGAGGTGAGAGTAAGTTTAAATTATATTATGCAAAATTAGGTAAGTCAATTCCTTTAGTAGAATTTTAATGGATGATTGTTCGACTCCTTAGGTAGAATTAAATTTCATAGACCTTAAGTTAGCATCAAAGAGTTCGTAGTAGTTCAGCCTATGTCAATCAAGTAAGTGGTCTTACTATCAACTCGGTCAAAAAACTTGTTTTATGTATAACAACATATGTCCAGTGACCCTTGCACGTGTCATTTATACACTTTATATTATATGATGGTATGACTATGTTATATGATGTTATACCATGGTGTGACATGATGATGTTGTATGATGATGATGATGCATGTTAACTTAGCGATGTAAGATGTATGATAATGAGATGACTTAATATGACGTTATTTCATATTAAGACAATGTACATGTATTAAATGCTAAATGTATGATAATGAGATGACTTAATATGACGTTATTTCATATTAAGACAATGTGCATGTATTAAATGCTATGGATGCATTATGACGATGATTTTACTAAGACACAAATTTAGTTAATGTTAATGACAATGAGCGTATGAAGATCAAGGCATGCATGTTACTTAGAGTCATATGTGAATGATATATACAGTTGTGACATAAACATGATTTAAAGATGAAAACTATAGGGACCTTATGCATTTTGTGTGTACATATACGTCGGGTTACTTTCCCATTTATGATGACGAGTACGGACGTGTACACTACGATGATGATGATGATGTTCATGCCTCACATGACACTCAGGAGTCTACTGACCTCCAAACGTCGCTACGAACATCTAGCTTGACTGTCCAGGAGGGTGCGAACTGCCTAGGGATCCACACTTGCACGAGTGGGTCGTGTGTAGCAAAGTACTATACATCCAATTGTGAACGGACTGGAGGACACCTCTATGATGGTTTTAATGATATGTCCCTAGATCATAAGTTGCATGTGTTTGCATTCTCTGCCCCCAAGAGTGGGGTCACTTATGGAGTATTTCTTAAAATACACAAGTGGTGTGTCGCTTCTATTTTAGGTCAAGGCAAGACACTCTTGTACGGCTGACGACGACATCGCAAATAGAGAACATGGCATATTTTTTTAATCTTAGGCTAAAGTGTTTTTACTTTTAATGTTTTACTTGTTTTATTTAGTATTTTCTTATATTGTTTTAAATATCCTTTTGAACATAAAAGTCCACGACAATGTTTTATGACGAAATTTTAAAGGTTTAATTCCGCATAAGATTATAGATTATTGTAATAGCCCAAAATAAATAAATAAATAAATAAATAGAATCATAAATAAAGAAATAAACATATAATAATAATAAATACATAAATAAATAAAATTCTCTGCTTCTCTCCACTAACCTCTTATCCCTTCCCATAATTATCTCTCCTCAACAAGCAGATCCACCAAAAGAAACAAAAAACAACAATTGTCAGATTTATTTGAGAAAAAAAAAATGAGAATGGCCTTTACCCATTGACATTCTCGGTAGATTTACATGAAGATAGATCTGATCAAGGTATATATTAGATGCTCGTTTTCTTTTATCCTATTTCTTTTTTAGAAATCACAGCCAACTATAGTTAGATATTCATTAAATTATTACAATGGTTTACTTTTGAGTTAAAAACTAAATGTCAATCATTTATACGAATTGTAGTAAATCACGTCACATTAGTAATATTAGATTAAATTAATATCAGTAGCCAAAGGAATAGATTATAAATAGAATGACCAAGAAAATTTGTGAACAGTAAACAAACACTGAGATAAGCAAAGATTTGGAAACAATACATGTAAATACGGATTAAAAAAAGGAAGATTCATGATTTTAAAACCAAAAACTAAAGAGAGAAAAGTAAATACAGAGAGTAGTAAAATGCAAAATAACTTGAAATAACTCTATCTACCATTTGTTATACAACCATAACTATTGAAAATAAGATTTTTAATAAAAATATAATTAAAGATATATAATATTTCAAGACTTTTAACGTTGGACCCATGTAAATTAGAGAAATAATTTTATAAAGTTTAAACTTGAAACTGTTGTCATGGGCTCAGATAGGTTGACTTTGATTTCAAATGACTGAATCAAACTTTCATAAAAGATATATTTGTGACAACGACTTAAGCTAACCAGGTAAGTGACCTTACTATTGACATGGTAATAGTTGATGTTGACACGTGCCTGTGGTTCTGTAGGTGTCATATATACTGATATGTGTGAATTATCTGTGAATCGGTATGCTTATATTATGTTTATGTTATGTTATAATATGTGAATTGTGTGATAATAATTATGGTATGATGTGTTCAAGGATATGTTTGAGATAAGATACGAGAAGGATGCACAAAACGAAATGTAATGATAGGAGTAAGATACGTTCATGAAACGTTAGAGTTAGGTTACATACCGGAGTTAATGAAAGATTATGGTTAGGATATGGGTAGAAAGGGATAGATTTGTGATAGATTGATAGAACGATAGCGTTAGGATACGTTCCTATGATGATATGACTAAGGTACGTTAACGTAACGATATGACTGTGATAGGTATAAGAACATTAAGGCTATGATAAGTTAGAGAACGATATGACCACAAAGTGTTTACGATATTATATGTTTATGATACGATATATTGTGATGTGATATGCTATTTTTAGATTGTTTTGTGTGATCATTGAGGTAATTGTTGTATGAATTGTACGATATGAAACGACAGTTAAAAGCATGGAGCGTTATGTTATGTTTTCTAAATTGTATGCATACAACATGTTATGAATGACATGATATCACGATAAATGAAATGAAATGTAACCCCGTTAGGATTATGTATGATACGTAGACTGAAAAATGAGAAATGACATGTTAAGCATGAAAGATGATAGCAGGGTTATATTCATTAATGATAAAGTATAAATGTTGGAGACCTCATGCATTATGTGTGCTCATGCATTTAGAGGGATTCCCCTATTCCATCACGAGGGTACGGACGCGTACATCCAATGGCAGGACAACGATCGTTATGTTTTGCATAGCGCTACCATGACGGTTACTAGTTCTAATGGGTGTCCGGCCTAGGGAGCGTCCCAATATATGCTCGCCCGACAAGTAAGGTGGCCCAGCGGTGTGCGAACTAACTGGTGAGCCCATACCCGCACGTATGGGTTGTGTGTAGAGTATATGTTACACGTCCAAATTACTCGTTAGGGCAATACCGTAGGAAAAGAGATTGAAAGGGTAGGTCCCGTCATTGCATTCACATGTTCTTGCATTTAACCCCAATAGTAGGGTCACTTACTGAATATTTCTTTAAATACTCAAGCCAGTGCTACTACATTTATTTTTCAGGTTAGGTCAACGCATTTCTGTACGACTGGTGACGACATCGCAACTCGAGACCATGACACATGCATAGGATAGTGGTATTTATTTTCTTACACTTAGGTTAGAAGTTTTTAACTTCTTATTTATTTTATTTAGTCTTGTTTTAAATATGTTTTCAAAACACGTAAGTCCATGGCTGTGTTTTAAGGTAAAGGTTATGTTTTATGGAATGTAAATGAACTCTTTCGCATTCAATGTTTATGGTATGTATACAATAGTGACCTTAAATTAAGTAGAAAATTTCGGGTCGTTACAGTTATGATAATGGTAACGACTTTAGGTTAGTAGAAATTTAAGATTGTTACAAAAACATTATCAGCCTCTTCTATAAATACTTTTCTACCCTACGAAGGTTTTCATTCCAAGAAATTCTAAGTGGAGTATTGTAATATTTTATAGAGTATCTTGTAATCTCTTCTTGATCTTTTGTGCACCAGTTTCGAGGATAATAGGTTTGTCATTACCCTTCAAGGTTATGGTACTATGCCGTCGTGGATTGTTTGTGGAGAAATGTAGAAAGAAGCCTTGTGAGTGTCAATTTTGGTAGAAAGAAGAATTGCACCAACCTTGAATCGGTTTAGTTTAGCGCATGCCTTGGTCTTATTCAACAAGCACACGGCTAGCGGTTCAGTTAGTGAGCGATCAATGATCAACTAACTAGGTCAATGGGCAGCCAATTCAATCAGGTCAACGGTTCGGATCATTTAAATAAGCTTGACTCAAGTTTTCATCTTAATTCTATTTTGAGGTATGTTTACACTTGTTCTTTAAGCTGAAGTGCCTATAATGGTGGTGTCCAATTCATTGGCGTAGGATGCTCAGATATTCAAGCCGACGGGTGAGAAAGATGACGGGTGTGTAAATAATCAAGCCCTTTTGCTGCATAGATACAGATTTCAAACCTTTCTTCCATGATAATACAAGACGATCTTTGGTCTTTGAAGTGTATAAGTACTGTTGTAAAGTCCCCCTCCATGTATTCGTAAACCAAGATCATCCCTTGGTTTTGTTGGCTATACCTATAATGATTTCAACTTAGTTTCAAAACTTTTAAAAACTTTTAAAAAGCAGTTGAAATTTAAACTCAAATATTGATTGGAGGCGGTTTAACATATACCCATATAAGGAAACCAGATGAAGATGCCGAATTTAACATTCCCAAGTTGACTTCGCTTCACAGCCACCTTCTTGTCGCCAATATGTGCCAACATAAACCTTCCCAACTCCTCCAATACCGATAATTTATGAGTTAACAAATTTTACTTAGCAAAACAAGTTATTAACGTAGAGCAATTTTTTTAAGATAATTATTTAGTAGTTATTGATTTGATCGATTAAGAAGATTTAACAGTTGTTTATTTAAAAGTTTAAGAGATCAATCACTAAGATTTGTCAATAATGGCTTAATTTTAGGAGAAAGTTTATGAACTTGACGAACAAGTTTAGGAGATCGGTCTCCATGGTAAATACCCATGAGATTATGTTATTACTACGACAAAAAAAGAAATAATAAAGCATAAGTCTTAATGTTCTTCTATTCAAAATTTCTCTCCCCTCAAGTTTATTTGTTTCAACATATTTGGATCGTGAGTAATTTTTCAATATTTGGTATAGAGTTAGTGTTAGAAGAATTTGATTAGGTCAAGATAGTTAGAGTATTTTTGAATCTAAATATTTTTTAGATTTGTTTACAAGATGTCTGGTTAGTTTCTGTTTATATTTGTGAGACCAAGTTCAGTATTCAATAATATCATCACTTCAATCTTTAATGGTTTATGTTTCTGGCTTAGTTATGTCAAAACCTAACAATTAGTATCAGAGTCGCAATTTTTGAGTGACAAATAGAGAGTATGAGTGAAGACAAAACTTTAGGAAGATCCCTCACTTTGATGGTCACTATGATCATTGGAGTGAGTTGATGGAAAATTTGCTCAGAGCAAAGGGTCTATGGAGTGTGGTGGAGATTGGTTTCTCAGAACCAGAGGAAGGAACAATGCTGACTGAGGAACAAAAGGGCCACCTTGATGATGCTAGACTCAAAGATTATCAAGTAAAGCATTACCTCTTCCAAACAATTGATCGTACTGTCTTTGAACAAATCTTGGATCCTCGCACAGCCAAGATTGTTTGGGACTCAATGAAGCGAAAATTTGGCGGAAACCAAAAACGGAAGAAATCTCTTCTTAATGCATTAAGGAGAGAATTTGAGATCCTAGAGATGAAGAATGATGAAAGTATCCCAGATTATTTTGCAAGAGCGATGATAATCTCCAACAAGATGAGAAGCAATGAAGAAGATATGCCGGACAAGAAAATTGTGGAAAAAATTATGTGTACCCTAACTAAAAAATTTACTTATGTTGTAGTAGTATTCATTGAGGAATCCAAAGATACTGATAACATGTCCATTGATGAATTATAAAGTTCATTAGTGGTGCATGAACAAAAATTTCGAAGATCCAGCATTAATGGAGAGGAGCAAGTTCTAAAAGTTGAAGGACAAATAAAAATAAGTAACAGAAGAAGAAGAACTTACATGGGTAGAGGATGGGGAAGAGGAAGATCAACTTTCAACAAATCAACTGTTGAATGTTTTAGGTGTCATGACTTAGGTCATTTTCAATATGAATGTCTAAAGATGAATAAGGAATTGAATTATGCAGAGCTGGAAGAAGAGGATGAAATGTTGTTAATGGCTCATATGGAAGGACATGAAACAAAAAGAAGTGATGCTTGGTTCTTAGATTCTAGTTGCTCAAAACATATGTGTGCAAATGAAGGTATGTTTTCAAGCTTAGACAAGACATTTTCCCACATTGTCAAACTTGGAAATAATACAAGTATAAAAGTTATGGGAAAGGGTGCAATGAAATTAACTTTGCATTGGGTTCGTTTCACTATTAGTAATGTGTATTGGGTACCTAAACTCAAAAATAATTTCTTGAGCATTGGACCACTACAAGAAAAAGGAGTAGCAGTACTATTTAAAGATGGTGTATGTAGCCTTTATCATCCACAAAAAGGAAAAACAGCAAGTCAATTATGAATGTAAATCGGCAAGTTATTTTGGATATTGAACCATCTACCACAACAAATGAAGAAAGATGCCTCCAAGTTTCAAATACGGATCAGTCAACACTTTGGCAACATCGATATGGTCATCTCGGCTACAAAGGCTTGTGCACCTTGAAACACAAAAACATGGTGAAAGGCCTGCCGCAAATTGGAGCTCCAAACACCTGTGAGGCAAATATGAAAGGCAAGCAACATCGGACTCCATTTCCGAAAATGGGTAAATGGAAAGCAACGGAAAAATTAGATTGGGGAAAACAATGAAATTGATAAGAACACAACCGAAGGAGGAGGAATCACAGAGAAAACGACTGAATCGGTTGCTGAAACAATTGAACCAGTTGCTAAAAACAAAGAAAGGAAAATCACGGAAGAAACGACTGAATCGGTTGCTAAAACAATTGAACCAGTTGCTGAAAACAATTTTCCAGTGACTGTTGCACCAGATTTGACAATAAGGGAAGGGAGAAATCGACATCCACCTGTATGGTTAGCAGATTCCGATGAAGGCTATGAGAAAAAGGGAAGTGAGGAGCTGGTGTACAAACTCCAAAAGACTCTCTATGGATTAAAACAAGCACCTAGAGCCTGGTTTAGTTAGAATCCTACTTCATCAAGGAAGGATTCAAAAGCAGTTCTAGTGAACAAACACTCTTCATCAAGAGGAAGGGAGGTAAAATTCTTATTGTAAGCATTTATGTTGATGATCTTTTATTTACTGGAGATGATGAAGAATTATGAGAGGAGTTTAAACATTTCATGAAGAAAGAGTTTGATATGACTGACTTAGGTCAGATGAGATTTTTTCTTGGAATAGAGAAAATTGGCCAAGATGAAAATTGTGCAAAAGTAGATGTAACTTTATATAAACAAATAGTGGGAAGTCTGATGTATCTCATAGATACTCGTCTTGATCTCATGTTTGTTGTAAGTTTAATTAGTTGTTTTATAGCATGTCCAACACAACAACACTTTGTAGCAGCTAAAAGGGTTTTAAGGTGCTTGAAAGGTACGATAGATTATGGTGTATTTTATAGAAAGGGAGGAGTTAGTGATTTAAATGAATTTACTGATAGTGACTATGCTGGAGACATGGA